CAGAGGTAGTCCTCGCTTCCTCTCGTCTTCAAATCTAGTCTTGAGTGATCGAATTGTTTTCAACATGACACATCACGTCAATCGAACTGATTTCATCTCTGAGCTCGTTTCACCTTGACCCGAGCTGAAAACAACTCTATATTTATATAACCTAAAAAATGGGAGCTCACTTGCTTACAGACCGCACACCTCCCTAGTACTGTGCGGTTCAATGGATCACTGCTCATCAGAGGTTCGAAAAAGTCGAAAAAACCCAATACGGATTTATCGTCCAAAGGTAAGTTAGATCTCTAGTGAATAACTGAACTTGTAACTCCGTTAAATAGTAAGTACACAATTTATCTCTTTACTTCTATTGGTTTTGTTGTTCTTTCATTTGTAGCTTCGTTTATGGAAGCTCTGCTTTTTCTTGTACTGTTAGTATTATTGATTCTCTAAGAAAGTTACCATTTAAAAAGTCGTCTGTTTCAACTGGCAAATCCAATGCCATATCAGCGTGTATATCCCATTATACTATTCCATACGATTCCAGTTCAGAATGCTCAGTGCTCCATGCCGTAACCCTTTTTTCTCTCATCGCGATATGAATTTCAAGAAAGTGACTATATTATTTAGAAATAGCCAGCGTCGATGTGAAAAGATTTTTGCCATTTAAATCTTTGAATAACAAATGTTAGAGGTAGCAGTGGGCACGGTTGAAGGAAAAAACCATGAGAAGCGGCTCAGAAACTTAAGAATGGGACCCCTTCATCGCCCGTTGATCTCCGCACTGATGTGACTTATGGGTGCTGCCCTATTCCACGCTAACGCTCTTTTCTGCTAAACAGCTAGAGGGTCAGCCAGCGAGAGGGAGGCGTGCTGCCCCGATAGCGTTGCGGGGAAGGCCATGCTAGATTGCAGAGGGCACACGCTTTGCAGCGAATTGTGTGTTGGTTGCACCCTGCGGGTCATGCCTCTCTTCCACTAAGTACAGTTTCTATCTTCAGACTCATCGACAAGGGCCCACATGGCATTCATATTATATTGTAAGTTCGTTGCCGTAAAATTTATGCCTTTAAAGCAACAGTTCAGGGAGGGTCCGAAAATTTCAATGCCACTACTACTGAGGGATACACGAGCCCTAGTGAAGAACATATGCAGTGGAAATAATAAACGAACTTACCTCAGAAACTCAAAAACAGGGTGGAAAGTCCCTCAAACATGGGTGTTCTTGGGGATTTCCCCAATCCCGCCCCCTTGCCGGCCGTCATTGGACGCGTCGGCAATCGTGCTCGTTTTGGGACCACAGGGAAAATTGATTGAAAAATGGAGCGCGTTTACAGCGGGCACGTTCAGACAACTCGTCCAACGTGCGTCTTTATCCATTGCTGAGCGGCAGAGGGAGAGTACCTGTCTAAGACCCTCCCCGACGTTTTTTTCCAGTTTTTCATACATTAATCGTCTGGTTTTCATCTACAACTTCATTATTGGTGGTTTTTTCCCGCGAAACCGTTCCTGAACTGTTGCTTTAACCAATGTTGTCCTTTTCTCGTACTGTTGCGATCTCAAATGTTCGCCTGTACCATATCGCCAATGCGACCCATTCAATAAATAGCCCGATCAGTCCGTTAAAATGTAGTTACTAAAAATATTAGCTGTATTATCTTTGATAGACAACACCGAAACACCTTTTTTCTCAAAATATTCGTTTCAGTGAAAAAATGATTTCTCTGTTTGATGCACAACCTTTTTCTTTTTCTGAGACGGTAGCAATCCGGCCTCAACTGCTAGTTACCATTTGACTATGAGCTCGTGGTAACTGGTACCTAGGCTTCCATCCGAAGTGTTCCTAAAACATGCGTAGAGCACCTCTGGAACCCTCCGAAGATTCCCCGTCAGAATAGTCGAAGTGAGTTCGAACTCACTCTGGAAGTAGGGGTGATCCCATCAAGTGGCTGTAAGAGGACAGGCGGCCATTCGAAAACTAACAACGATGGCGGCAGAGAAAGTAGAAATAGTGCGCGAGGGGTGGAGACGCAGGCATGCTGGTCCCATGAATGTGGTCACTTCCAAAAAAGTCCTCCAGTCCCACATCCAAAGCGAAAGTATGAGTGGGTAAAAACAGGATTATGAAATGGAAAAGGAACCGCTTGCATTGATTCGTCAGTGGTGTAGCGCCTGCGGTCTACGTTGGTGTTGGATCGGTCACGGGATCAATACTACGAGATGTCTAAAGGTTTGCAACTTCGTAGGCTATTCCCTTTTCTCTACAACCCTTTCACCGTCATAAGAAGGGCTCCATAGTGCAGTGGTAGCGATGCCGCTCATGGGACGATGCACCGGGTTCAAACCCGTGTGTGACGCGACTTTTGCAAGCAACGTGGTGGATGCTCACCACTTCACCTATGGCAAACCGCCATTGGCTCAATGGGAACGTTCCACGCTGCCGCTGGCAAGGTTGCTGGATCAACACCGCTTGGAGTCTAAGATTTGCAAACAACATCCATTGCTTACCTGTTGTCAACATCTCTTCCAGTGGTCGAGTGATCCCTGGTGCACTGGCAAAAACCCGGCTATGAGTCCTACCATCCAGGGTTCAAGTCCGAGAGTGGCGCAAGTTTTGCAGGTAGTGTGGCGAGGCTGGCGGTTTCAAGAGGGTCATGTCCATGTTTCCACGTTCCTTATTCCTCGTCAATGGGTGAAAATCACCACATTTTATTACTTGTTAGAGGCACTTTACTACCGTTGCTGGTTCTACCGCAAAGAAAAAATTGCTCTTTGAACCCACCGAAGGATAGCGAACTAGACTATTTCTTCGAATCGGGATCTATTCAAAGCAGTTGGAACATCGAATATTGAAAACTTGTATGTGCACGAGAAAAAGTAGAAACGCGCTATTTTTTTATTGAACGAAAATTTGAAAAAAAAGGTTAGTATTTTCAGCGCCGATCCATCCGACAAGTCTTTTGAACTATTGTTCAGATAAAAGAACACTTAAAAGAACACTTGCAACGAAGGTCTTTCG